TTAAATTCTTCCTATGATCTTTTCCTATGACGAATAAGCCTTTTGTTTCGATATCGTATTCCCTCACGACAGCAATGCAATCCATTCGTGGGAAATCCTTAATTCTTATATGCTCCCAGATACGATTTTCTGGTGTTAATAATTTTAAAAGTTCCCAAGGATAACTTTCAGTCTCGAAATTCCAGTTTTCTTTCTCGGATCCACCGAGAATTGCGATCCGATTATGCATAAGACACATTGCAGCACACTTTCTTCTGCCTGGGTTTCTCCCTGTTGTCGCAATCCAATTGGTTGGAAGCGGTAAAAGTGTTGGTGGAGCTGCATTATTCGAGGGTGCCAGAAATTTTTGCCAACTATCTTGTTGGGCATCGTATACGTGGATATCCTTGTCGTCGTGAATTTGGGAGATTGTAGAGGATGCGCTCTTTAATTTCCCGCCGTAGATGTAAAGCTTGCCGTTAGAAAAGGCCGTACTGTGTAAAGAACGTCTGTAAGGAAAGTTTGTTGAATCGGTGTAGGACACCCAAGTGTTATCCTCGATATTGTAAATCGCGAAATCTTGAGTATCGCACATCTCTTGGACTGTCGCAAATTCATCGTCCCCATTTATCAAACGTCGTCCGCCAAACAATACCAGTCGATTGCTATCGATAGCATTGAGCGAATGATTTTTTCGGGCGAGAGGAGTTGCCGTGGAGTTCAAAATTTTTATCACGAAGGTTTTGATGTTCAACTTGTAGAAGGCGTTGGAAAGCCTCCCGATTTCTGGATTTTCACCCCCAAAAATGTATATCGAATCTCCGACAGTAGCGGCAGCACTTTTACGAACGGGTTTGTAAAAACTTTGGGAAGATGAATCTAGCGTTATGGGTTTCTTTGACCACGTGATGGGCTCTTCCTTTAAGTCAAGTGACCAACAGACAGGATTATTTTCGGAGAGGATGATGAGATAAAATACATCGTTGATCCAAACACCATCCCGGTAATTGGAGGCGATCAAATCGGAGTCGACACCGTCGACGTTTCCA